AAATGCCTCTTCTGCCTGTTTAGTGCTACCTTCATGCAAGGCACAGAGGTCATTTATTTTCACCATCTTTAACCAGGCTTTAGGTTTTTAAGAAAACCTTCTTTAACTTTATTTCCATTATTACCGTAACAACAGTGTCTTTTGAAATTTCTCTGTATGAATAAGTTTAATGCTTCCCTTCTCCATCCCTGCTTTCTAAATGAAAATACTTATGATCTAAGGATTCATCCCCTGGTTATTGTTAAATATTTTATATGAATTACATTGTCCCCGAAGGGCGATAGCGTTTAATTTGCCCGTGAAATTTAGGGCAATTATTTATGTTGCTAACCCCAGTCGTTTTATTCCAAAATTAGGCTTTTTGTATTGTAAAATATTGTAAAATAATTTTTATTTGTATCTTGATGGATTGGAATTAAGCTAAGTAATATTTTAGTAGAGGTTAGTAAGTATGGTATTTTCAGAGCCTTGGTCTGTGTGAGACTGCTTTTCCTGTTCTTCACAGCTGAAAGGCAGTTTGGCTGGCAGTGGCTATCTCTGACTGAGTCTTCTCTTTGTTTTGTAGGTTAGTAATACAGGGGACACATTTAAGTCCAATTGGACACTTATTTCCTTGATGGTAATTTATTTTCATTTGATTTTTGTGTTGACTTGTTTTTGCTTTTATGCCTGGTACTAAAGAATTTTTTTTTTTTTAAACCCAAGGATTCAAAACTTCTGTCAGAATATGGCTTTGACTTGATATAATTTGAAATACAATTTAGTCCTCTTTTTTTTCCATTCAGATTTTGGGTTTTTTTATACAGTCTTTGATTATTCTATTTCAGTTTCTGCCGTCGTGTTTTCTCAGAAACAACTATAATTAGACTTGATTTTTCTGGTCCTTCAGATCTAGTCTTTTTTCATCTATTGGTTCCTTTCTCTGGTCATATGGGGCTGTTTGTCTTCTACATCAATGATTTGATTTTACATAGTACACATCTCCATTTTTCTCTCTCCCCCTATGTGGGTAATATTCTGTCCCTTCATTTTTAGAATCTTTGTACTGGATCTTTATTTCGCTTCGATTCTCTTTTTATCATACCCGGTAGTCATTTATTGATTATGGCTTTCTACTTTGGTCTTTAAGGGACATGTCTTCTGGTATCGTATTATCAATGCCAAATACTTTTCTAAAAATTACATCTGGTTCCTCTAGGGAGTTGTTTTTAGGAGACAGGTCTTTCTTTGACGCTCCAGCATGCTCTTTTTTCTTTCCGTATTTATGCACTACTTCTTGGTAGACCTATGTTGACATTTAGCTCTTACTTTCATTCCTGAATTTGGCAATATCCACCGAGACCCCATTCACAGAGAGGGTGAGGGGATTGCCCTGGGCCCCACCCCCTCTCTGCCGTCCTTTTGTTTGCTGTTAAAAGTCTTCTTTCAGATCTCAGACCTTGTAGCAGTAGTTGATGTTTGCAGTCCCTGGCCTATTTTCTGTGGTCTAGAAGAGTTTTGTATAAAGCAGCAATGGCTAATGCCTTGTTTTTCATACTCTCTGTAGGGATTATTAAACGATGCTAACCCCCAGAATAAATACCATCACGGATCATCTTGTCTCTACATCTGCCTTTCTGCAGCTGAAACCCCGGGATGCTACATATTTCCCTTTATTCCCACTTACCTTTTAAAAGTAGCAGTCACTAACCGATAGGGTGGGGGGGGATTCTCCTCCTGCCCCAAAAGCCTCATGGCGGAGAGGAGGTTTCTGACCATACAGATTGTTGCATTTGTATCCGGGATGGTAGAAAGCAGAGAAAGGAAGATACGCTAAGATTTTCCTACTTCCTTCAGGATTCATAGCTTGTTTTTCTCTGCCCTGAATTACATCATTTTAAAAATCTAATTTTATTGTTTGTTTCCTGCTGTAAAATTCTGATTCCTGCTATAGGTTGAAGGCTATATCTATATATATATATCTATCTCTCTCTCTCTCTATATATATATCTATATATATATATATAGATATATATAGAAAGAGAGAGATATATCTATATAGGCATATAGATATATATAGATCTCTCTCTCTATACACACACACACACACACACACACACACACTTTTGTGGTTGTGTGCAACTTTACCTCTTGTTTTATAGGTATTTTAGTGGGAGGTTGGGGGAGGTTATCCATCAGGAGGCTGTAGCTAGACATCATTTAAAACTATAATTTGTATGAAACTACACAAATAAAAAAAAGTTATTATGCATGTAGCAGAATGCTTGAAAATTTTGCTTCCTGCAGGTATTTTGTAGAAATAAACTCTGCCTTGTAAATATTCATCACAAATTGTTATTCAATTCAATTGATGGAGGCATTGGTGTCCTGTGTTAGAACCTAGATCTTCTGAAAACTGGGTCAATTTAGTGGAGAAATAAAATGCAGGTACATTAAGTGATTATAGGAATTCCAATGACTTCCATAAAGTTTTTATTATACATAAAAATTGCCTGATCATTGCCTACTAACAGAGGAGTTTTAGAGCTGAAACAGCTGTTATAAATCATTTAATCTGGGAGTTGCAAATTCAGTTGCCTTCAGAGGCCAGAAAAGTGACCCGCATATGCATGAAGTACGTTGATTTAATACATTGGGAAGTGGAAGAGACTGGAGACAAGTGGAGATTACTTGTGCCATCAAATCCTTGGGTTGTATTACCAAAAGAATGTAATATAAACCCACTCTCCCATTAGAAAGGTGAAACTGAGGTCAAGGAATAATAGATTTGCCCAAAGTTTGGAGATTCTGTGTGCCTGAACCAAAACCAACTACATAGTTGTAGTGCCTAGTGCAAAATAAAATGTGGGGTCTCTTGTTCATCAATTATGAAGAATTTCAAGATAGTTCCAACAAAACATTAAAACCAAGCATGGAACCCTGTTGTTGTCACTTATGGTTCCTGGTCTTCACTTCTGATCTAGAATTTATATATCCAGACAGAAAGAAACATACCAGCACTCCCATCTGTAACCACCAAAAATCAGTAATGGAGAAATGGTTAAAATTAAGTCCTTGATACTATAGTAAGTGAACCACCTTTACCTACAAGAGGGCTTTTCTGTATCATTTGCAAGTTTTCATTCACTTATTTTACTGCTTCCATCCATTTTTATTGTTTCTTCCTGAATTCAGGTTTTATGAATTATTAGTTGAAGATTTTCAACCCTGAAGTTCAAAGCTCTTCTCTAAATGTTAGTTCTGGTTTGAATTCCAAGATGTTTGAAAGGTTAGCCAGCCTAGGATTGAAACTCCGAGGGATACTTGTGTCTGCTGTTGGGTCTAACTCAGCTCTCAAAGGCCCCCTTACCATTATTCTTTTCCTCTTACCTGCAGAAGCTGTCATTTTTTTCAGAATATTTTATATGAAATGTGAGTCCTCTCCTAAAATCACCTCTTCCTCCCTTCCCTCTCCACCCCCTCTTTTTTTTTTTTTACCTTATTTGAAAATTTTACATGGCTTGCAAACATGTGAAACAATTTACCTCCTGACTGATTGAGGTTGACTAGTCCCTTGTTGTGTTCCTTTATAACTTGTAAGCTGATTGAGGTTGACTAGTCCCTTGTTGTGTTCCTTTATAACTTGTAAGCCATAGAACTACTAACAGCACAACCTCAGAAATGCTAATGAGTGAAACTTAGCCAACTTTGAAAGGCATAGCTATTCACAGTTAGAAAATATAAGAAATAATATTGGGAGTTGAGTACGAGGGTAAACCATACATAGATATAATATATAATTTATATAAAGTCTTTATATTTACACAAAGTCTTATGTACATATTTTTAAAATTTTAGGTACCTCACACTAAATATTTCACTGTAAATCCCCTAAAAACAAGGACATTCTCCTACATAGACTGTAATACAATTCCCCCATTCAATAAATTTAACATTTATATAATACTGATGTCTAATTTAAGATTCATATTCAATGTTTTACATTGTCCCAATAATTTTTGATATTATTAAAAAAACATTTCCTAATCTATCATCTGTTTATTTTCTATGGGGACCACTTTACAAAATCTTTAATTTTGATATCAAATGCATGAATTTTCTTCCTAAGTTGAGGTCTTAAAGTCTTATTTAGAAGTTTTTGCCTATCCCCAAATTGCATAGATGTCTTCCATCAATTTCCTCTGTTAGCTTTATAGTTTCACCTTTCAGATTTAGATCTTACATCTAAGTGTGGTTTATCTTTGTAGGGGGTAAAAAGTAGGGCTTCAACTTTTTTTTCTCCCCTGCTAACATCAGCACTGTCTACAGAAAGTCTTATATTTTAAGGCTTACACATTGAATCATTTAAAATTGAAAGAGAACCAAAAATGGTTTTCCTCATTAAAAAAATGAAAGTCTAACTAACAGCTAGATACACAGTTTGGGGTGGTGTAAGGTTGTCATTAGTGGTCATGTATCGGGTGGATGACTTAGATTCCAAGTGGGTTCCTTTAGCAACATCCATGAAGATGTCGGTAAGTATTTGTTAAAAGATGAAGGAAAAAAATCTTACCTGATTTAACAGTACTAAAGCTTTTGTTTTTAAAACAAGTATGAACTTCAGTTAAGTCAAGCTGTTTACTTAATATCTGAATTAGACAAGGAATTCAAAACAGTCTTATGTACCTTTTATTGTTGAACTGAATGAACTCAGAAGCTTCATGAGTGATTAACAAGAGGAAATGCATATGTTGGATAGAGATGAACAGATGGGCAAATACAGTAACAGGAAGAAAAATTTGTTATGAATTATTGATATTTAAGATTTTGCAATAAGGCATCCATATGAGTGTGGATGTGTTCAGCTAACACGGAAATTGCCCATTAAACTTAATCCCTGGTTGGAGCAGTTGGTGGGAGGGGGGATTTAATGGACTTTCTTTCACTCACGTATTGCAGAATACTATGCTATGAAATATATAAACTGAATGTCATAGAATGTTTTTTTTAAACTTCTACAGGTGGAGATTTTCATTTTCCCTTTATGTATTTACCTATGGAGTCCGGTTCCTAAAAAAGGTAGGATCTGCCAAGTTACTTTATATAATTCTTACATAACTGTAAGCGTATATCTCATGTTTTGTGTGTGACATAGTAGTATTTTAAATAATCGTAACAGGCGTCCTAAGAACATTTGTGCATTTTTCTTTGGCTTATAAAAATATTTGTAGTTTATCCTTTATAGTAAATATTTTTTAGGCATATACCAAAAATATCTTTGAAAGTAATTTATTTTGCCCGTGAAAGATGTTGCATGTCCTCTGACTATTGTAGTTGTTACTTATTACTTCTGGGCATTAGGAGCCTTATAAAATCCATCTGATGCTTTGAAAGAGGTTGAAAATTTCCATGTCACACAACTGAGAAAAATCAGTTGTTGTGATGTGTGTTATCATTATAACCTTCAGCAACAAAATTACGTTTTAGTGTCTTACGTAGCTATTAACTAGGCAACACCAGCTGCTGGTGGAAAATGTTCCTTTCATAGACTGTGTTTCACCTCCTGGTCCTGTGCTAGTCCTACATATGCTGAGGCACCTTTATCTATGAAAGTAATTCTTCAAGACTGCTATAACCTTTTTCTTGGTTATTTCAATGTTGAATGCTTCTGCTAATGAGGTAGGCTGCTTAAATTCAGTCTTAAGAAGACTGAGCTTCTCTTAGTCATGCACATACTAATAATACTGATTGGCACAGAAGCTTGGAAATTATTTTGATAAAAGTTTATAGTATTAAGCTTTAAAGTGAAATCCATTTTATCTTTAGTAGAGAATTTTTCCGAAGTAAGGCATTGCGCCAAGTGTCATGTCTTACTAGTAAATATTCTTGTAAATATTGATGTGAAAATTTGCAAATGAGTTTTTAGTTTTAAAGTCTGAGTTATAAGATATTATATGCCTGTGGCCATTCTATTATAAATAGTGGTTGTTACCCAATGTTATATTTCCCTAAAGGGATTATTCTTTTTACTTGTTGTCTTTTCCTTTAGTAACTATATCTTTCACTTACTAAGGCTACCTGGCCCATAGCCCCCTTGAGTAGATTTAAAAGAATGAACCCCATACTGTAGGCTGAGTATGAACAAATTCTCAGCTGGGGTACATAAATGTGGTGGAAACTGCCTCATTTGGAACCCTACTGTTCTGGTTTTAAAATTCACTTATGTGGAGAGAAAATGGAAAGAATGACTTAGGGCTCCTGTGCTTACAACGTCACTACCTTGGAAAAGGAAATAGCTGGGGGTGGAATTTCAGCTGACAAGGGAAAGTTGTGTTTCATGGGAATGGCAAGTTGCTAACTGAGGTCCAGCTTTGGAATTCATGTTGGGTTCTGTGGGTGAAGGGCTTTGATGGAAAGCAAGGAGAGATGGTGAGAGCCGGGAGCACTTTTTTTGCCCTTCTGTGGGATACAGTCTTTTTTAGCCTTTCTACAGCAAGCCTGGCCATCTGTCATCAGAACAGGAAACACTTTGACACTTAGCTCCGCTTCTGTCCAACAGACTGAGGGGGAAAAAGAATTGTTTTTATCCTTCAGTCCTCAGTGGCTCTGTAGAAGGCACTAAGAGGGTCTGTCAGTGGAATGTTTGCTTGGAAGTTGCTTTTCCTTAAATTATTGTGGTTCCCTTTCTTTTTCTCTCTCTCTTTTTTTTTTTTTTTTTTGACTTTATTTGAGAGAGAGAGAGTGAGAAGGGGGAGGGACGGAGAGAGAATCTCAGGCAGACTCGGAGCTGAGTGCGTAGCTCAACGTGGGGCTCGATCTCATGACCTTGAGATCATGACCTGAGCCGAAATCAAGAGTGGAATGCTTGACCAACTAAGCCACCCAGGCACCCCTATCCTGATTCCCTTTCATACTGTATCTAGTTACAAAAAATGCTTTAAAAATGCAAAGAGAACTAGATGTTTTTCTCTTGTCAGATTATTTGCATTTGGGGTTTCTTCCTCTAATACTAAGAAGCTCTCAATTTTGGTTGAGTCTGTAGTTTCATGTTAGTCATCATGTGTGACAGAAAAGTGCACATAGTATCCATGGGACTGAAACAGCTGTGAGGCCTTCTTAAGCCATCTTGTCCAATCCTCTTATTTCACAGCTGGGGAAGCAGAAATCCTGACAGGGTAGGTAGCATTTCAGAGGTCACACAGTTAGTTTATTAAAAGCTGAATCTGAAATGAAACATGCATGACTATCTCTTAATCCAATACTTTCTCTACTCTACCATCCTGTCCTAACTTCAGCATGATTTACAAATGACTTCCTTCTTTGGTTAAGTTAGCCAACTTGACCTCATGTAGTCATTGTTGCCATTTATAGAACCTTAAATACTTACCTTAATGGATATTTAAAATATATTTTCTGTTAACTTTCTTGGAATGGACAGTGTGTTTGCCTATCTAACCTAAGGGAAAAAAATGTATATTAACAACATCAGAATTAATCAAAACAAGGTAATTCAAATTTTCACAACACTCTAAAGTGTTTTCAATAAAATAGCAGGGCAATGAACCAGTTTTAAGAGGTGAGAGGCCACAGCTGCTTCTTACTCAACATTAAAAATGTTGATTCTTGGGCGCCTGGGTGGCTCAGTGGGTTAAGCCGCTGCCTTCGGCTCAGGTCATGATCTCAGGGTCCTGGGATGGAGTCCTGCATCGGGCACTCTGCTCAGCAGGGAGCCTGCTTCCCTTCCTCTCTCTCTGCCTGCCTCTCTGCCTACTTGTGATCTCTCTCTGTCAAACAAATAAATAAAAATCTTTTAAAAAAAATGTTGATTCTTACATAAGCTATTAGAAAAATGCCTGAGCATCTTGCACTGGTCAGTTTTTTTCTGCCTTTAGGTCAAATGAACCTGAGGCATCTCTTCTAGGGTGGATTAAGTCACTCTAGAACCCTTTCTACCCTGACATTCTGTTAAAGATTCAGTTAAAGAGATGTTTACCAAATGCAAAGTACCATGCACCTGCAACAATAGAGAGAAAATGTTAAAAAATAAAAACAAATTGATTAATAAATAATTTTAGGAAACCATAGAATTTTAGGCATGAAAGTTGTCATACGTATCATCTGAACACCTCCTTTTATAGATGACGCTAGGCGGTATCAATCTCTAATGTGAGAATAGTTTTGGTTTTCTCTGTCATGTTGAAATACATTCAGGCTGAACACTGAAATTTGATTAAATGCTGTTAACTTTTCCAATTTGAACTGGCTTAATTCTACAGGGAGAATATGTATATTTCTCTGGGTTTACCACATCATAGTAGAGTTTCAGTGTGTAAATGTGACTGATTCAAGTGCCTTCAGTTTTAAAATATTCTTTGTATTTAGAATACATATAAACTAGATTTATGTCAAGAAACATCTGTGCTCTGTCTGGGTCCCATGAGAGGGAGATACCAAGAAGAGATTAAATGTGTAAGAAATTGATTGAGGGAAGTGCTTATGAGTGAAAATGGGGAGGGTGTTAGGGGAGGCTGGAAGAGCCTATGGACCCCAGTGTAAGACTGATCCCCAGTGTGGGAGAGAGAGAAGGAAAAAAGGTTGGGTGAAGTTCTAAGACCACCATGCCTTTCTAAAGAAAATTCACTTGGAGAGTCCCAGAGCCACAGTCTCCATCAGAGGAGAACTGTGTTTCTTAGAAATGGCCCTACTTCAGTATTCCTATTGTGCTCTGTCATTGGCTGCAGGCGGCCTGTGGCCTTCATGCAAGTGCAGCTGTGGCCCTGGCCACTTAGACACCCAGCAGTCCGAGATCCAAGAGGCACAATCTCATGATTGCCATGGGTGCTTTATATTTACAAATATTCTAGCTATTCTAGAGCAGTGTCAAAGGATATATCAAGGAATAAGACTCCATGTGACATAGTAGTTATGTATTTACATGCAAGATACCTGGAAGCATAGAGTACTATTTATCATACTTTTTTTTTTTCATTTTAATTAACATGTGTCGACTTAATCTCTTTTATGTCATATTTCTTGCAGTTGAGATGTAAATGCATCTTTGGAGGCTGACTTCTTACATGAGTTGGGTGACCATACAAGCTATCTTAAAGTCCTAGGTAGTTGCCTCTCCCTTGTGCTCAAAATGACCCAGTTTAGGAACTAAACTCTATCATCATATATGACTAGCTCTATAATAAAAAATGAAATAATTGGCCCTGTATTTTCAAAATTTCAAGACACCCTGTAAAGTATGTGTGTGTTCATTTATATGAAATCAATGAAATGTTTTCTGTAATTTCATGATGACCAATAGAAGAAGGAGCCTCCTATTTTGTAGTGATGTGATAATGCTCAGGCAGGCACATGTTCTATGTTATAGGTTTTCCGCTTTCTTAGCCTAGAACCCCCTGTATAGATAGCACTAACTTTGGTCATGAAACAAACTCTAGAAGGCACTGACCTTACAGACAGGTCAGTGAACTATTAGGTAAAGTGATTGCTAGATTACTAGGAAATATTTATGTATTTAAAAGATTTTTATTTATTTATTTGACAGAGAGAGATTGTGATAGTAGGCAGAGAGGCAGGCAGAGGAAGAGGGGGAAGCAGGCTCCCTGCTGAGCAGAGAGCCCGATGTGGGGCTTGATCCCAGGACCCTGAGATCATGACCTGAGCTGAAGGCAGAGGCTTTAACCCACTGAGCCACCCATGCACCCCAGCAGGAAATATTTAAATAGTTGGAAGATAGGCCCATTTCAATAGTATGTTCCCATAATTGCCAGACACAAGCAATTCTGCCCATAAATATGATTGGCAGAGAAAAGGGCTTTGCAAAAGAAAACCCAGAATTCGTTTAGGTACTCTGAAATCATTTCACACAATGTACTCATACAAATTAACACATTTTCCTAAACCCTGAAAGAAACCACATTCAAGCCTTAAAAAACAGAGTATCTCTCATTTGGTGTTACCTTTTTTTCTCTTTTATAAATGGAAGTTTGTGTTGGATGGAGTTCTTTGAATATTTTTCTTTGAGTTTCTTTATTTGTTTAAAATATAGTGTCACAGGAAAGCAAGGT